ACTCTACAGCACCACTCCCACCTCTACACCACCACAATCTGCCTGCCACACTCTGCTTTATACACACTCCCAACTGCCACCTCTATAGCTACCACACTCAACAGCACCGCCACACTCTACAGCACCGCCACACTCTACAGCACCACCACACTCTACAGCATCGCCACACACTACAGCACCGCCACACTCTACAGGACCGCCACACACTACAGCACCGCCACACTCTACAGCACCACCACACTCTACAGCACCACCACACTCTACAGCATCGCTACAGATATCAACTCTGTTAATGGTTAATGGTAAAAAGCCCCCAGCTTCGGTTAGCGTCACTAAATGGTGACTAAATAACTGCTTCAATGGTTAAGGAGAAATAACAGCAATACTGTATATTCCTTCCCTTGTCACTCCCCTATTGAACTGATAAGATATACACTAACAACTGACAATACAGGTCACCAATACTCTTAAATGTTTTTGGATCCATTAAAAACCTAGACAGAGTTGATGACTCCTTTGTAGTATTAAATAGTTTCTGTATCCAAGAAACTGCCGGTGACATAGGGAAGCCTGTCTCGTGAGGAAGCTAAAAGTCAGAATTTTCTTATTTCATTTGTGAGACGGTGACTGGATTGTGTTTGTCTTGGAGAGTCTATATAGACCAAGCAGCTCTTAGCTCTTCCTCACCCCACCGGCCCAGCTTAATTGGTGGTTGTCCTGTTGATCACGGAGTCAATTTAATGTTTGCGACCCGTATACATTATATATATATATATATATATATATATATATATATATATATATATATATAGAGAGAGAGAGAGAGAGAGAGAGAGAGAGAGAGAGAGAGAGAGAGAGAGAGAGAGAGAGAGAGAGAGAGAGAGAGAGAGAGAGAGAGAGAGAGAGAGAGAGAGAGAGAGAGTCACATATACAAGGATAATTAATCTGCACAAGTAAGTACACATACCAAACACACAAACAAATACATACCTATATACACATAAATACACACCAGACACAAGACTTCCGCCTGCATCACCACCTAACGCAGCAGGCCCCCTCACTCTCCCCAGCCGGAGAAAGAAAAAGACCCCTTCAGTGGGCAGACTCCGGTGTAGGTATAGGTAGGCAGTTCGCGCCCAAATGACCCCTTTATCTGTTATTAATACCGCGGGGTGGAGGGTTTTATGGCAGTCATCGATTGTGGCGCCACATTCATAAGTCTGGGTGAGGTAGTGGCCCGGGGTGGTGAGGGAGGCCCTTACACACACCGTAAAGAATACCTCTAATGAACCGAGGTCTAGCTGGTCACTCTCCCCCAGTATACCCACACGCCTCCTCATCTTCTCCCACAACCCTGGTCTGGTTTGAGGGGTCGAGATAGAAGGAAAGAAAAGAGGGAAAAAAAGAAAGAAGGTCAGGAAGAACACGGGAAGAAGGCAGGTTGGCAAGGAATGGTAAAAGGAAAATAGGGGTATAGAAGGAAACGAAAAAGCTGTAGGAGAAGGAAAAGATGAGAGGGATGAGGGAGAGAAGGAAAGGGAGGCAGGGAGAGTAGGAAGGAAAAAAATGGGTAGTGAGGGAAGGAACTAAGAAAAATGGGTAGTGAGGGAGGCAAGGAAGGAAAAAAGGAGATAGTGAGGGAGGGAATGAAGAAGTAGGAAGAGAGAGGTAGAAAGTGTTAGGAAAAGAAGGGAGGACAAAGGCAATTGAAAATATCTGACCGTCTCCTTGCACTACACAAACACACAACAGTTAGAACGCTACAAACACTACCAGTCACGTCCCACTCTTCCAATATCATACACAGTTAGAATATCACAACTTCTCTCGCAAGAACCACGTACAGTATGGAGGTTAATATGCTCGTAAGGGTATAAGGAAGTTAATGTGGTAAACTTCCTTTCTGGGCCACTGATGGTGTGGATGCTACTGGAAGGCACAATAATCTGGAGATCACTGCCCGATTCCCTCTCTCGTTATTTCTGTGTCTCACCCAAGTATGTGTCTCAGTTGTAAAGGCCAGGGACTTAGGGATATGAACCCCTTGCCAGCCTAATCAGGATCTTATAAAAGGAAAAGGAAAGTCAAGAACCATGTTTATCTGAGGGATAACAAACAACCGTTCGAGATGGACATCTCTTTACTGTGAAAATAACACAAAACTCTGACACCACTCACACAAACATCAAATAACAATTACGGGAGTCAAACAATTACTGGAGTCAACGATTAATGGAATCAAACAATTACGAGAATCAAACAATTGCGGGAGACAAACAATTAATGGAGTCAAACAATTAATGGAATCAAACAATGAAAAGATATTTCCTACGGCGGCGGCCCGGTGGAAGGTTCAGTAGAGCTGGGATCCGCTCTCAGGGGGAAGGTCAAGGCAGCTTTCTCAATTGGCGTCGGCGTTGGCGGGCGAGGTCTTGCCACACAGGAGAATCGCCAGGGCACGGACGGTGGAGAGGGTGTGAAGGATGTGGCGATGACGTGGCAGCCGCGGTAGCAGCTGGAGCAGGTGACCGGAGGTTGACAGTCGAATAGTGAAGGTCTGGGGAATCAGCCCACGAGCCCAGGACACATCGGAAGAGAACAAAACCAGAATTTGAACGAGCAGCAGGGAAGTGCAGCTGTGGTGCTAGCTGGGTAGTGTCTGATCTGTGTGTCGAGGCAGCAGTCACGTTCTCACCTCCGTCTACCCCCGTTCCCCCCATGTGGGGGACGCGAACAAGCAAGTGGGCGGCGAATAACCATCCTGGTCGTTACAGCCCTGACATCAGTCTTTTTCTCTCAGTCTCAATAATTCTTCAGTGTCTGTTTCTCTCTTTGTATCTCAACTCTCTTTTTTTCCCCTTCCCTTATCATTCTTCCTCTCTGTCCATGTATTTCTCTTTCCCAATCTCTTTTTATCTTTACCTACATTTCTTTCTCTCTTTCTCCCTCTCTGTCTGACTGTCTCTCTGTCAGCGAGTCTCACTTCTATAAAGCCATCAACAAACAATACGTCAATAAATGCAGTTGTGAGAGTGCAAGGTGTGAGTGACAAGTGATCCCTACATATAGTTTCTTCAGTTGTTAGCCTGTACATTACAGTGTTAGGTTGTGTGACAGGTATGGTGGACGTTGGCTTAGCCTGGAATCAGTCTGTTGTGGGTTACAGTATGAACAGCTTCCCCGCCTACCCGTGGCGGCTGATCCAGACAATAAATTGCCTTAACCTTTTTATTTTTATTTTTGGGAAATTAATGAAACTAAAAGTCTTATATAAACGACGTCCACTTTGAACCTTTTTGGGGATGTATGTTTTTTTAATTATGTCATGTTGGTTCAGCATCTGTGTATACACTTTCCCTGTTCACTATTTTTTCAGTATTACTTTCATTTGTATTATGAAGGGCAAAGGAGTGGTGTATATTTATAGAGTAGCCAAGAATAAAGATCAATCCGTATAAGATTGTCATATCGTCTTCGAGAATACCAACCGACACATTAGCTGGTTCAGGGATGAATTAATTATACATAAAAGACTTAGTTTGCGCACTGTGCTTGTATGTGAGGGTAGCTACACGTACAGAAACACTCAGTATAGTAAGTGAAACTTGTTTAAAGTTTTAGTTAGTGTTTACATCGCATGTGTTTACAACTGTATCTTAACTCTTTCACAGCCCAAGGCTAGGAAGTGATATTATTCTGGCTAACACCCAGGCACGTGCACAGGTAGGGCTCAGGGGGTCTCGAATTTAAGGAAGACTTTTTCACATAAATAATATATGAAGCTGAATTTAATTAACACTAACCAATTAATTTTTTCGGAGCCCGCCATGTTGTTTACCACCTCTGCCTTGTTTCTACTCATCCTTCGTATCACTTGCATTTTCACAACCATAGTTATGATTTTCTTAGTCACCTAGGCAGCTTTACGACCACTGTCAATTTGCAGTTCTATTTCCCACACAAGATGACCCTAAAATTTTCCCATAACACAAGTAGGAGACAGTAACAAAGGAGAGAGCACAGAGACAAACGACGAAAATTTTTGCGGGCTGTACATACAGTATATGGTGATGAGACGAGCGCCTATTGGCTTAGACGCCTTAGTCTCTTGGAGGATGTAAACAAAGGTGGTTGTAAACATGTTCATTTGGTCTTTACTATTTAATATTTGTCTTCTTTTTTACTGGTACAGTGGTACCATTATATTTTCTTAAATGACTGTTTGACATTGAGGATTTGTTTCATGACTGAAGCTGGTGAGTGTGATCACCTTTCTCTCTCAACAAGACGAAAATCTCACCAGAGCCAAAAAAAAAAAAAAAAAAAATTAACACGTTGTCCAAATTTTTCTCAAGTTTCTTGGTTAGTTTTTGTGAATCAACAAGGTTGATCAAACGACAAAACAAACACTAAACACTTTATGTGACTTTTTTCCGGTTTTGCTGTTTTTGAGGCAGTTAATTATAAGCCGCGTTCCAGCTCCGTTTGATGCCAGTCAGTAAAATGGACACGATTTCTGATCAAATTTATTTACACTTGTATCTGTGGTTATCGGGTATCCAACACACACACCCAGTTATGTTTTAATTAACTGTGTGTTTTCTCTCACTGAGGTAAAGGAGGGGTAAAATGCACCCAGTTATGTTTTAATTAACTGTATATTTGTCTGTCACAGAGTTAAAGGAGGTCAATAGAAAATCGGACATTCCCCATTTTATTTATATTCGAGAAATAAATAAATAAAGTCAGCTTCTAACTTCATACACACACACACACACACACACACACACACTTGTATTGATGAGTCTTATTAACTAACCTCTCGTACGTAACCCTTCGAATAAATGAAGACTCCTAGTGTTAGTGACCTCTGCTATGGGTGAGCTGGGCGCCTGCTGACCTAGAGTGGCGGTGCAGGTAAGCTATTGGTCGTCTATCAGCACTAATTGTTTAGCACATATTGGTATTGGGGAGAGGGGGAGTGGCCAGGCTTTGATATGGAGGCTCGACGTATACCGCGTCCTTGGTCATTGCCGCTCACTGTCCAGGGGCGTCCAACACAGCCACCGTTGGTCACTATCCAGGGACCTACACCACAATCACTGTCGGTCACTGTCCAGGGGCGTCCAACACAGTCACCGTTGGTCACTGCCCAGGGGCCTCCAACACAGCCACCGTTGGTCACTCTCCAGGGACCTCCACCACAATCACTGTCGGTCACTGTCCAGGGGCGTCCAACACAGCCACCGTTGGTCACTCTCCAGGGACTTTCACCACAGCCACCGTTGGTCACTGTCCAGGAGCGTCCAACACAGCCACCGTTGGTCACTGTCCAGGGGAGTCCAACAGTCACTGTCGGTCACTGTCCAGGGGCGTCCAACACAGCCACCGTTGGTCACTCTCAGGGACTTTCACCACAGCCACCGTTGGTCACTGTCCAGGAGCGTCCAACACAGCCACCGTTGGTCACTGTCCAGGGAGTCCAACAGTCACTGTCGGTCACTGTCAGGGGCGTCAACACAGCCACTGTTGGTCACTGTCCAGGGGCGTCCAACACAGCCACCGTTGGTCACTGTCCAGGGGCGTCCAACACAGTCACCGTTGGTCACTGTCCAGGGGCATCCACCACAGCCACCGTTGGTCACTGTCCAGGGGTGTCCAACAGTCACTGTCGGTCACTGTCCAGAGACATTTAGCACAGCTACTGTCTGTCACTGGCGGCCACTATTCAAAGGCGTCTTCCGCAGTCAGTGACTAAAGCAATGTGAATGTGTGTGTGTGTGTGTGTGTGTGTGTGTGTGTGTTTGTAAATGTGTGTGATAAATTAGTTCGTCTAGTCCTCCGTCTCGCACGCTACACGTGACCTGAGGCACAAGAGTCGAAGTTGTTGTTGACGTGAGCAGCAGCACCACCGCGAAAGACTATACCCTGCCCATCATCACAGCGCCTCCCTCCCCATCTTTGCCGGAACATCATGAAATGGAGCCAAAATACACAAAAGCTTCCAAAATCACCGCGCACATTTTTACGGGCTGGAATGGGAACAAAACATACCAAGTGAAAAAAAGGTCCCCCCCACCCCTCCAAAAAAGGGCCAATTTTCGGCAGTAAAGCATCCAATTAGCTGATAAAGCGCTGTGTGTGGTACTGGGCAGTGCTGCATGACACGGGGTAATCTGGAGCGTCATGCGATGTGGTCACATTATTTTAACGAAATGACTGATAATGTAGGCTCGGTGCGCCTGGCATGCGAGCTGCACCCACGCCAGCGAGTTCAAATATTCTCCCTAAACCAAATGTAATATCTTTGTGTTTTTTCCCTGTGTGTGTGTGTGTGTGTGTGTGTGTGTGTCATCCTACCGTTCGTGTACGTATGTGTAAAGATAAATATTTGACAATATAAGTGTCAATCCGCGTATTAAACCACACTTATCCACATGACTGTGTGTAACATTATCTACACAACTGCCACCTTCAGACAAGCCGAGGAAGTGCAAGATGAGTCAGCAAATGTCTGTTTACCTTTAGTCCTTATGGCGGACGGGGTTACTGAGGAAGTGACGTCATGCCGAGGCTTCCTTTCCTCACTCTCCCTCGCCTGATGGGTTAATTCTGTCTCCGTTTTTATGTCGTAAACGTTGTTCCATTTTGTCTTGTGTTAGTGGGGCAACGCCTGAAACAATAATCGTTATAATTATTATTAATTTTATTATTACAGGTATTACACTAATTATATTATTATTATTATTATTATTATTATTATTATTATTATTATTATTATTATTATGTTAAGTGTGAGTGTTAGTGTGAGCATCGGGCGTGAGTGATAAGTGTGAGTATTGAGCGTGGGAGATGAGTCAGAGTTGAGTGCAAGTGATAAGTGTGGGTGTTAAGTGTGAGTGTTAAGTGTGAGTGTTAAGTGTGAGTGTTTAGTGTGAGTGTTGAGTGTGAGTGTCGTCAGAAGCGTGCATTAACTCACTCTTATACCTGGGGTGGATGTCTTTCTCGTTACCTAGATGACGGGATCTCCCTTTGTTTTAGGAAATCGATGTTAGGCGCAGGAACCTCTCTGATATAGCTCCATTACTGTCATTCTGTCATTGTCTCCCGCTTCCTCTGTACTCTCTTTCATCCTCTTTCTCTCTATATATTTTTCTTTCTCGCATTTACTCCCTGCCTAACTAGCTGTCGTTCTTTTGCCCTCCACTCGTTCTGTCTGTCTGTCTGTCTGTCTTCCACTCTCCCTACTGTCTAAACGAGATATTGGTAACTCTTCGTGTAAATAAACAGATCGATATATTTGGTCTGGTCTGTCTGCTTCACTGACTTAATTAAATCACAGATATTACTGATATTGAAGCTGGTTAAATATCACCTTTTTGATATTCATTTAGTAGGTGCTGTTCACCAATGAGGTTGTTATTGTTCAACAGTGAGGGCGCTGCTGTTCACCACTGAGGGCGCTGGTGTTCACCACTGAGGGCGCTGCTGTTCACCACTGAGGACGCTGCTGTTCACCACTGAGAGCGCTGCTGTTCACCACTGAGAGCGCTGCTGTTCACCACTGAGAGCGCTGCTGTTCACCACTGAGAGCGCTGCTGTTCACCACTGAGAGCGCTGCTGTTCACCACTGAGAGCGCTGCTGTTCACCACTGAGGATGCTGTTGTTCACCACCGAGAGCGCTGCTGTTCACCGCACTGAGGCGCTGCTGTTCACCCCTGAGGACGCTGCTGTTCACCCTGAGGGACGACTGCTGTTCACCACTGAGAGCGCTGCTGTTCTACACTGAGAGCGCTGACCACTATGGACGCTGCTGTTCACCACTGAGGACGCTGCTGTTCACCACTGAGGACGCTGCTGTTCACCACTGAGGACGCTGCTGTTCACCACTGAGGACGCTGCTGTTCACCACTGAGGACGCTGCTGTTCACCACTGAGGACGCTGCTGTTCACCACTGTTGGGCTACGATTTGCTTGGTGAAGAACGCTTGTCTAGTCTGTTGTTTGTTGAGGTTGGCTAGCAACCTGCCTCAAAACTTTCGCGTAATAATGCCTTAATGCCAGTCTTTATCTCGCTCTACGAGTACAAATGGAGGTTTTCAGTTTCCTAAGAAGAGCAGTTTATGTAAATAGTGTATAACAGATCCCTCTATTGCTTGCTACCCGCGTGGAAACTTCTAGAAGTTCCGGGGAGTCAAAAACTTCTGGTAAACTCCGCCCACCGTCTCACTCTTCTCGTAATTCTTCTAGAACATCGCTTGGCGCCACCGAATTAACCATTCACATTTTTTGAACAAAAAATGAGACGTCATCGCCAAGGACACTTAAGCAATTGAAATATGCTGCCCCGGGTAATGACGTACACTATTCTACACATATGCAACTATTGTTTCGTTAGCGTCATCTTCCCGGGAAGATTATAAACAACATAAACAAAACCAGTGTTGAGGTACGGCGGTAAGAGTGTCTTCAGGAACTACTGACCCACATCAGTCGTCCCTACATTAAGTCATAAGAAAGCTGCCATGTAATAAAATTGAATCTTTTATTGTGAAAATATTATCATCATAAAATTCCCGTTTGGCTTGAGAGCAAGAAGGTCACCTGAATCAGTGTTGTCTCTCTCTCACTGGTGGTATTCTAAACTGTATTGATAATATCTGTACACAGTTGGAGTATCCCTAAACCTCTCCATAGCCTTTTGAAACAATATACTACGTGGTCTTTTTATTAAAGCAAACTCTTATGGCATTAAATGCTTCGATAACAAGTAGTTTTCATCTTAACAAGATGAAGTATGTTGACTAATAAACATGAATGTGATCCATCATCTACCTGTAAGGTGCCCGCAAGACTCCAGCTTGGACCAGTAATGCTTCTGTTGCACTCAATTAGCAGCTAAATGCAGCGTAATACATTTTATTTGCCGACGACAGTATTCTGTATATCAGTCCTACAGAAGCTCGGGAGTGACCTAATACGAGGCACTACAGTACGTGTAATACACTGACCCTCAACTGTAAAGAAGCATTACTTAATTTTCCACAAGACAAGACAAATATTCGTGACGTAACGGAAGTGTTAACTAAAGTAAGCTCTATTGGGTGTCATTTGATCCTTCATATATTTGTCTAGTATTATATAACAAGCATTATTAGAGAACTGGATTAATTTCTCAGAACTGTCTGGTTGTTAATTGGAACTCGAAGTGCAAGGATTCTTGCTTTTGATCATCCATGATCAAAAGAGAGAGCTAATTGACATATAACTTCAATTCCTGTTGTGTCTGCACAGTTGCTTATTGCTTAATAATGTTTATCCTCAACAGTTAATAGAATATTGATGATTTCTTTGTACTGTATACAAAAATTTCTTGGTTATTTTTTAAAAATAATTTTACTTATAATCCAGAGAAAACAGAGACCCAGATGGTGTGACGTGATACCAGGTACAAGAAGATCTACCACTGACGGACGATCAGCGACGGTGGTGGGTGTTGGGTGAAGGTGTTGAACAAGACGGGATATTTGATTATTAAATATTGACGTTTGTCCGGACAGAACTTGAGGTTTGGACTGCAACTATGATCAACGAAACAGAGAGAATCACACTTGTGTTCGTCTCTTCTTACAAGTAATTAGTACTACACCTTCTGCCACTAATAACAGTTGTGGTGTCAAGAACGTTGTCATATAAACACCAACCATCATCGACCGAACAACCTAATGTTCCCAACGTGCAACATTGTTTTCTGTGTATGTAAAACTGTAAGAGATATGGTAAACAAAATAATATTTCAACAAACTTCTCTGCAAAATGTCCATTTCACTTGTTATCAATAGATCGCGAAATTTGAATTAATTTTTTACGTTTTTTCGTTCAAGACCCTTGATAATAACTTCGGCTGTTTCAGTAATACGGAACTGAAGAGGATATATTGTAAAGCCAAGTCACGGTCGGAAAATTATACCAGCGGTATTACCAGTTGTAGAGGGAAGCTGGAACAGGTTTGACATTTGCGACATTCAAGTCATAAAAAATTATAAACTGTACACACTTCATGACTCTAACACTGTCCGCAGGAGCAGGGATGATTCCTGTCACGTTTTCTCGCAAATTGAGAACTACGTGATTTTTCCACGCGTCTTGCTGTTCCTCGACCAGCCACAGGCGACCTGGGGGCCACCCCCAGGTCGCCTGTGGCTGGTAGAGGAACAGCAAGACTGTACCAAAGACTACCAGTTACCTCGTGTGTGTGTGTGAGGGACCAGCTACAACAGGTCAACTCTCCTGGTGATGGTCGGTCCTCCAGCAGTAATAACTCAAAACAAAATCGCCAGTTGACGTCACTTGAGGAAAAAGTGAGGTTCCTTAATGAAATCTAATCAGTATTTATCTGAATATTATGAAGAATTTCAAACATTTTGATAAAACTTTAAACTGGCGAGGGATTATTTATTTATTTATTTATTTATTTTTTATTTATTTATTATTATTTTTGGGGGGGGGGGAGAAGTCGCTATCAGAAAAAACAATACGCATCAGCCTCCACAACTTACAATAAACGAGGAATTAATGATAGACGATTGAAATTTTGTCAAGGATCATTAGCACAACTAATTATGAAAATTACAACCTTTTTGACCCCAAATTCTTTAAGTTTCTGGATCTAGCCAGACAATGAAGTTTATTATA